TCCAGGTTGAGCTGTTGTTCAGCATTTTAGCTGTAGAGGGCAGTGTCACTGGCCCTCGTATGTGGGATCCGAACCGGGGACCTCTGGCGTCCCAAGCCAGTGCTTAACCAACGCACCACTCGGCCGGCCCTACTTGACTCTTAAAGAGGGCACAGCTCACAGTGGCCCATGCAGGGATCGAACCGGCAACCTTGGTGTTATCAGCATCACGCTTTAACCAACTGAGCTAACTGGTCACCCCAAATTTTAATTACATTTATTGGGGGTGACATTGGTTAATACCATTGTATAAGTTCCAGGTGTACAACTGTATAATACAACATCTGTGTACTTCATTGTGTGCTAACCACCCAAAGTCTAATCTCCTTCTGTCATCATGTCTTTCACCCTCTTTACCCTCTGCATCCTCCCCTCACCCCCTGCCCCCTGGACTGTTGTTTTAAATAGAGTAGTCTGGGAGGCTTCACTGAGAAAGTAATGTTTGAGCAAAGATTTCAAGGCGGTGGAGGGAATAAGAGTGCATTGTAGGCAGAGGAAACAGCAGGCACAAATGTCCTGAGGTGAGAACATGTCTGGATATCTGGAGTATTTGTGAAGCAGTAGGGAGGCCAGGGTAGCTGGAGCCAGGTGTGTGAGGGGAAACAGAGGCAGGAGATGAGGCCAGATTGCATAGAGCCATTGGGAAAACTCTGGCTTTTATTCACACTGAGATTGCCTTCCAAAGTGGTCTTTCCATCCAGGATGATTTGGCAGACTACCATGGTGAGCTTGAGCTTAGATGCTCAGAGAAACTTCCTGGGATAAAGTGACAGCTGCTCTGACCAAAGGACAGAAGTATATAGTAAAGAGTATCTAGCAGGGCAAGTGGTTGGAGAATGAAACTCAGCCTAAACACAGATGTGGGGAAAACCTGTGAGGAGCAGACATACAAGAGGACACCTCCCACCCAAACTCAGGGGCCTGGCTCCCTGGACCACAGAGAGGGCTGGCTGACAATAGTCAGGGCTGAAGGGGAAGTGGGGCCTCTGGGTAGAGAGCTGCAAGGGTGCAATGTGGGGGCTACAGCAAGGAATCCACTGAGAACTTAGAAGTAAGGAAAGTCGAAAACTCTGACAGGCTGCAAAATCTAGATCTGAGCAGACATATGCAAAATCTCCTTAAATAGTGGTTCTCAGTGAGTGGTCCTTCCACCAGCATCACATGGAAACATATTAGAAATGCACAGTTTTAGGCCCAAGCCCAAACTTCAACTTGCCTGTATTTTAAATGTCTTGTCTTTTACTTAATGTGGTAATAAAGAAGTACATGATTTTGTCTACTGCAAACTTTTGTTGATATTTTGATAACTGGAATTCAATATAATTGGTTTACTTTGTTACATATCTTTATTTTGTGCTTTATTAGAATGCCAAAGAGGCCTGTGGCACAAAATCAGTAAGAACCCCTGCTGTGCCTTCCCTCATTCCTGGGGCCTGGGCTGGCAGTATCCCTGAGGTTCCCATATACGCCCCTCACAACTTCGTAAATAAATTGTGTCTCCTTCCTCTCATTAGAGGGGTGCTTTTTCATTTGGGACCCGGACTGATGCAGTGTGCATAGGTGTGTGTGTAGGGAGTGAGGGGCTGGGAAGAAACGGACCTCTGCAGCTGTTTTTTACTGGAAATGAACAAAAGGGCATCCTGGTGTATGCACCAGACTCGCAGCCTGGTAAACCAGAGGCTCCCCCGGAGGCAAGGTGGGAAAACACGTCAGGATTCGGAGCCTACACGGTGCAGCTCCATGGAACCATAGCCCACTCACTCACGTTGTCTTTGCCAAAAGCCTTTTCTTTCTAACAAGCTTCCTTGTAGGGCTTTGAGGGGAACATGGCTGCAGTTTCTTTCTTTCTTTTATTTTTTTTAATTGGGGAAGGGGAACATTGCTGGGGAATTGGGGAGGGGGACCAGCCAAGTTGTTGTTCTTCAGTCAAAGTTGTGGGGGGCGCCAGTCGCCATCTGGCTGCCCATTGGCAGCTCATGGCCTCTAAGCTCAAGGTGCTGTGTTACAATCTCAGTTGCGGGTGGGTGTAGCCACCATCCTATGCGGGAGTCGAACCAGCAACCTTGTTGTTAAGAGCACACGCCCTATCCACTGAGCCATCCGGGCAGGTGGCAGCTCAGCTCAAGATGCCAAGTTCAGTCTTAGTTGCGGTCAGGCGTAGCCCACCATCAAACAGGCAGTCTTGTTAGGAGCACACGCTCTCACCAGCTGATCCATCCTGCCATCTGTTGGCAGCTTAGCGGCAGCTCAGCTCGTGTGCAGCATAACTGGCCCATGTGGGAATCGACCCAGCGGCCCTGTTGCTCAGAGCTCGTGCTCTTAAGCTAACTCTTAACCAACTGAATCACTCGGCTGGCTCCACGGTTTATTTCTAAGTTTCCCCTTTTTTCCTGGAAACCTTACAGAGCAATAAAGAGATTGAAAACACATGCATGCGTACACACACACACACACACACACACACACACACACACAGTATATTTTCAGTGAAGCTAGGAGACACAGAATACCTACAAACCATCTTTTGTGTACTTGGGACCAAATTCCCAGCTGAGCAGGCAATCCCCAGCCAGCAGTCTCAGGGAAGAGCTGGGAGGGAGGGAGGGATGGTCCCAGTGACCGGATGCAAATAGCAAAC